TAGTTGCAGCAGCTCCTGCCAGTGGAAGATCGTCTGCATCTCCGTCTTCCACCGACTCCAGTTCTCGACCCTGCCGTCGAACTTTGTCGACGCCAGCTGAATCTGACCTGTCTGTCAGCCCCCCCCCCCCCATTGCGACCAGTTGCTGCGACTTGAAGGGGAGCGAGCCAGCTCCGCTCTCGTACGCGCTGGGAGGAGGCGTGCTCGGGTCGGCCAGAGTGTTCGTGTGCGTGCCGTACGGCGTGACCGCGTCCTTGAGCACGGAGGCGACGAGCTCAGATTCCAAGTTTCTTTGTGGCGGGGAGGGGGAGCGGGCGGAGACTGCTCAGCCGACTGTTCGAGAAGAGGGCCAGCTTGGCCAGCGGCAGGCGGGCAGCCAAGGCCCTCACTACCGCAGCTGCAATCGTCTGGATGAGTGTCTCGTCTGCTGGAGCTGCGCGCCGCTCGCCTTGCGAGACCGCCTCGTCTGGTAAGTCTTCGTCTCTTGAGGCCCGTGCCCGCATTGGGGTCGTAACCTGTGAGCTTGTGTATTTACTGTTCCTTGTAGTAACCATACAGGTAAGGCACAGATTGCTGGGCAGAAGCCGAGCAGGAGGGCACGGATGCTCAAACGCCGAAGTGCCGTGCGGCGACGGCAGTGCCCTTCACAAGTGTATTACAGTGGGAATGGTTGGCTTAGATCTACTATGTTCTATCCTACGATGTGCAGGCAGCCGCGCTTCGGGCCGCGACTCTGGCGAGTCAGCGTGCATACTTCACAGACATCTGCTATTCCGGACTTTCTCTTCGCGAGCCGAAACCAGGAATTTGGCTCGTTAGTTTCTCCCATCGACGTTGACCCCTCCCCGGGAGAGCATCACGAGGATGACGCACGTATGAATTATCCATGTGTTGAAGTGTACAAGGCGTTCGCAAGCGCTGACGTGCATAAATGTACCGACTACACTGCCTGCACCATAGTAAGCATAAACTATGCAGCGTGTGGCAGCACCGTCAGTGCGAATCCAGATATACATATTGATGTGTACCGGTAGGTGCGCTAAGACAACTAAGGCCCTGGTTTCTCCGTCGGTGGCTGGGTCTGGGGATAAAGTGCGAGCGAGCCTATTGGCTGAGCTCAGATATTAATCCAAGAATTAGCACTCGCCTAGTTATGTGGGGAAAATGACTAGACCGGTATGAAATCGCATATTAAATGCTGAATCGGTATGACCCGCATACCGGTCGGGTCACTGGGTGATCGTCTCCCGAACTAAACACCTAGTTGTGGGCTTGGCTATTGCGGGCTACTTGCTTTTTTCATCATATCCTTATCTAAGAGCAAGTGCATCTTCGCCGATGCTTCTGTTTTTCATAGTATATGGTCATCCAATCTGCCAACCTGTTAAGATCGATCATATGACAGCGACGCCACTATTATATATATCATAAACCCTAAGTGCGCAAGGGAAAATGACCAAATAGGTATGAAATCAATTTCAAATGCCAAATCGGCATACCTATTTTTGTGACTGAATCGGTATGCGTTGATTTTAAATATTGAGGTGCGAACTCCCACGCCACGGACGTCCTAGCTTCTTACACACTCCCCAGACACGTGTCATAACATTCCTGACATGGTTGCTGTACTTGTGGTATGAGTACGAACTACTTTTCGTGCTTATCCAGTGCAACACAACCAGCAAAACAACCTGGCATGCCGCCACAAAATTGCTACTCTGTCGGGCGGAGGAACGCTGGACACAGCTTTAGCAAGTTTCCAATTCAGAGTTGCTATCACAGACCGGGTGGAGGAACTGCCAAAGCCTCCAAGCGATCTGTGGCAACTCTATGAAGCTTCATCCTTGTTGCGTTACCAAGGCTACTCATAGCTCGTAGTCTACTCATTGCCCACTTCTCAATTCGCTGCCAACACCCAACATTCCGGCTTCAGAATGGCTCGCATACCCCACCCAAGCATGAATCAGCACTTCATCGTGTTGTTGATAGTTCTCGCTCTTCTGTTATGAACTGGGGTTGGCTCAGCGGCAACGGGGACGAAGGCAGCCCGCATGGTCTCACTCCGGTCTGGTGAGGTTGCAGAAGCCGGCGAAAACAGCGGCGTCCCTGAAGACAGAGCCTTCGAAAAACTCAAAGAGGCTATTAAGTTACTGAATCCGAGCGGGGAAGGCCACATCAACAAGCTCTTCAAAAAGTTCAAGGTTGGTGCGGTCGAGTCGAATGTGTTGGCGAGCTCTGAATTACAGAACTGGGCCGCCGCTGTGGCAAAAGTGAGCAAGAAGAATCCTCCTATCGGTGAAGTGCAAATGGTGTCGACGCTGACCACTCGATACGGAGACGAAGCCCTGACGAGGATGCTAATTGCGGCGAAAGATGCGCCGGGCTTGGCGGGCTGGGCTGGGAAGCTGGAGGCAGCTCAGTTGAGGAGTTGAGGGATGAAGACCAAACCGCGGACCAGGGCCTCCGAAAATAGCATTGTCAATAACATTATTTCAGAAAATAACAATAAATTACGCATTTCGGCGGGTTCAGCCATCTACCGTGATAATTTATTGATGTGCTTTGTGATATTACATAATTTATGACAGTCACCTTTATATAATAATGTTAGCGTTTTACCAGCCATCTTCTCGCTTCCAGTCGTTCAGAAGAACTGGAATCACTGGTTGTCTGCGTTGCTAGTTGCAGCTCATTTGGCAGCGCTCACATTTCAATTTTCACTTCTCAAGCCTCCAAGACCTCATCCAGCATGGTTCGCGCTAAACGCCCCCCTCGCCCTACCTACGCGAACTCCCAAGTCTCGGGGTTTTACTTCCGCCCGTGTCGCGACGAGAACGACGAGGTGATTCTCAAGTATTTCCGTTGCCGTTGCGGCACGGTTCGGAAGCAAACCCATAGGAACGGGTACTCCAACCTGATGCAACATATCAGGCGGGAGCACCCTGACTACGAGACCGTCATGCTCGACGCTACGACGGCGGAGACAGGCTCTCTCGTGAACTTCGTCCGCCACTCGGCGCGCAACCTCCACGGCTGGATGGTTTGGATTGTCATGTGCAACCTGCCACTCTCTTTTTGTGAGAGCCGAGAAGCTCGGCGGTACGTGTATGCATAAGGTCATTGTGTTACATTACTACGGAAACTAACAACTTTACTTTATGGATGTTATTCAGCTACTCCAGCCTGGACCCCATCTCGGAGGAAACGCTGCGGGCTGGCATGGACGGGGTCGTCGTCGCCGTCGAGCGTTCGATTGCGTCGGAGCTCCCAGCACGCTTCGGCATCATGCTCGACGGCTGGACACACGCATCTGAGCACTACATCGCCGTGTTCGCGTGCAATGAGGTGAACGGCTGTCCCAAGACAACGCTACTCAGCATGGCCCCGCTGCTGGACGCGCTGGACGACGATCTCTCCGCGCAGGGCCATCTCCAGTTTCTAGCGACCAAGCTGCCGCACGATTACGGCGTACAGCTGGCGCAGTGTCGCTTCCTCGTAGCTGACAACTGCACCGTAAACCGGCGGCTGGCAACTCTTATGAGTGTGCCGCTTGTTGGTTGCGCAAGCCACCGCCTGAACCTTGCTGTTCAGGCGGACATGGCGTCGCATGAGGAGGACCTGGCTGCTGTGCAGGCGCTCATGGTAAAATTGCGTACTCTTACCAAATCTGCCAAACTACGGTAAGCGCCAATGTGTATGTGTGGTGTGTCGATATGTTTCTAACACAATTTGTGTACTTTTGTAATTGTTTTACAAAATAGGTTGAAAACGCCACTTCGGCCTGTCATTCGCCAGGACACGCGCTGGAGCTCTACGTTCGAGATGGTACGGCGCTACCATCAGCTCCTCGAGTTTCTTGACGCCGAAGACGACGACCTCATGGACCTGCTGCCGCCGCCGGCGACGAACAAGCGGCTGCGGGCATTGTACCAGGAGCTATGGGACATCGAGTCGGTCTCGAAGGCCCTTCAAGGCCACGACGTCGACCTGCTGGACGTTCGCGAGTGGTTCGACGAGCTGATCGCTGTCAAGCCACAATATGGGCGCTACATTGGTAAGTTTATAACTGTTAAATTTGTGTTCAATATTTTCACTAACAATTGTATAATGGTTTTTACTTTGCAGGGCCTCGGGCCAACATTGTGCACAACCCAGATTTTGAGGCTGGGTGTGTACGCGTTCTCCGCGGGAAGGCGCAGCGGCTGACGCGTGCTGAAAAGGCCGCTTTGCAGCCCTTCGAAGCTGCCAGACCGGACGACGCGGCCACGAGTGAAGAGGAGGAGGATCCAGCCGCGTCGTTCGTGGAGCGTCTTCGGAAGCGCCGGCGGCTTGCACAGGACCGTGTCAAGTATGAGCAGCTGAAGAGCATCCCACCCACGTCGAACGTGGTGGAACGCTTCTTCAGCATTGCTCGGGTGACGTTTGGTCATCAACGACACGGCCTGCTGCCACGCACGCTTGAGACGATTTGTTTCTCCGCCAGAATCGGTCGTACTGGGATGCAACGACTGTGGACAATTTGAGCTAGATGATAAGCTAACTGGTGTCTTGTTAATAGACTTCATGCTTTTCATAATGACATTATTTATTGTGGTACGTTGGGGGCAATGCCATAATGTACTGTTGTATTGGTAGGAGCGTCAGGGGATAATTTATTCAGCAACGCCCAACCTACTAAATAAAAATGCCATATCCGGAGGCCCTGCCGCGGACGATGTGTTCAAGCTGCTTAAGCTGGACACCAAGAAGGGAGCAGCCATCGAAAGTCCACTGTTCAGGACGTGAATGTCTTATGTGGATAAGCTGGGTATGGGCGGAAGTACGCCGGTGACGACGGCGGCGTCCTCTTCGCTGCTGACGACCCATGGCCTGCGCCAACTCTGGCAGGACAGCGCCGATGGGGCCACGGTGCGGGTGCAAGTTCTCGGCGTCTATCGCTGTACGTGGCGTGGTCGTCGACCTGTAACAAGTTCAATACCCTATCGATGCTACAGGTTGCTGACACTTTCCACCACTTGGCTGCTTGTTACCTACCATCAACAGACCTGGCGGACCCGGCGCTCAAGGAGCGACTCGGGCTGCTGGTCATAGTGTACTGAAGATCGTACAGTTGAATACCCTCGGAACTGGATG